CTGAAATCCTACCACTTTGAGAGGCTGAGGTGGGAGGATTGCTTGAGTCCAGGAGTAAAAGACCAGCCTAAGCAATGTCGTGAGACTTCATCTCTATGAAAGACAAAAGAAAACTACCTGGGCATGGTGGTACACACCTGCAGTCCCAGTTGTTTAGAAGACTGAGGCAAGAGGATGGTATGAACCCAGGAGGTGGAGGCTGCAGTGAGCTATGATGAGCTGATCTTTAGCCTGGGAGACAGAACTAGACTCTATCCCCCACCCTCCAAAAAAAACTAATAAAGATACACTCCTGATTCATACCATGTGGGATCAAGGTATGACAGCGGTGTAATTATTCAGCATTTTCCAGCTGCTAATTGTATTATATGTTGGAAAGAAAAAAATTAGAAAGTTCTTGGTGAAGAACCATTCTTAGGGAAAGAGTTAACATTCAATGGTATCATTTTATGGAGCCAGCAGTGTCTTAGGTAACTTTCGCCACAATGCAGGGTGCTTGTCTACTCTGAAGACCCTTTGATGGAAACAGCGAGCCCTTACACCCCATCCAGACCCACATCTGAGTCGAAGCAATGATCTCCGGACCAGGACACTCTTCTCTTGTACATTTAGCAAACTTCCACCAGGGGGAAAGTTTGCTATTTCTGCTTTGTGTGAAGCATTTGTACCATCTGGGCTGGCTGGATTTCAACAAAGATAGTAAAGAAACATTTATCAAGAAAAATCAAAGTCGGTCTCGCCAAGTGTGGTCTAGAGAGATTTGCTTCCCTGATATATTTGTGGCTCTCTTACTGCTGGGAAACATGACTTTGACAAGCTTCAGGAGGGACAGCCCTTTGGATCTTAGCCTGAAGCTACTGTCAGCTGCTCATGATAGAGTGGTTTTAGTAGTCAAAGCTCTTAGAGATGTGAATGCAAACAGTCCCCAAGTCAATTCCACTCCATCCCTTTCCACAGACTTTTTTGGACCCTTTGGTAAGAGGATAGACTCAAAAGGGCAGAGACTCTGTCTCTTTAAAAAAAAAAAATGTTTGGTTCTGGTAGATGCACAAGGAAAGGTCATTCTTAAACTATTAGTCTTGGGGCCAGCACAGTGTGGCTCACGCCTATAATCCTATCACTCTGGCGGGTGGATTATTTGAGCTCAGGAGTTTGAGAACAACCTGAACAAAAGTGAGACCCCCATCTCTACTAAAAATAGGAGAAAACAAAGAACAAAAACTAACTCACCATGGTGGTGCATACGTGTAGTCCCAGCTGCTCAAAAGGCTGAGACAAGAGGATTGCTTGAGCTCAAGAGTTTGAGGTTGCTGTGAGCTATGATGATGCCACGACACTCTGCCTGCCCAGGGTGACACAGTAAGACTTTGTCTCAAGAAAAAAAAAAAAAAAGCCCAAATCATTAGTCTTGAAGCGAGCAGCTCCAGAGCATAACACACTTGTCCTGCAAAGAGCCGTGAAGTTCTAAACTTACAAAAGATTTTTTTTCCCCAATGACTATCCTCATGTGTGGTGGGGGATTGGAGGGGGTGGGATTACCAGAAGGAAGAAAGATGAGCTGTTCCCACTTGCATATGTGTTGCTAATCAACCAGACAGACAGGTTTCTGGCACTTCAGGGTGTCTCAGATCATGTGTTTATGCAGCGCACTAGGTGATAGATGTGTCATTCCAAGATTTCAGCCTAGAAACAGGCACATGCTATTTTTCTTGGAAGGCTTAAGAGACAAGAGAAAGTAACAGTTGGAGATTGTATTCCATGGGGGAAGTACAAGAAATTGTTAATCTCTAGAACCACATGACTTAATGTGTGTCCTATGAACTGTCAGTATCAGCATCACAGAGGATGTGGTTGAAAAGCAAATGAGCAGGTCTCACTCCGGACTTTTGATATCAGAATCGGCCGGGGGGGGGGGGCAGGGTGTAGGGGCAGGGGGCAGTTCTAGGAATCTGTGTCTCACAAGCCCTGTGAGTGAGTCTTACGCACACTAAGGTTTAAGAAACACTTTTCTTTAAGTATTCCTGTGGAAGGGTTGAATGCATTGTTCTCAAGAAGAAAAACACAAGTTGTTGCGTTTGACGTGGGGAAGTGGTTAAGTTTTCATAAAAAATATGGGCAAATGTGAAAGAGGGCACTGAATGTGAATAATAATAATGAAATAGCAGTAATATAATTAATGTATTTGTATAATTATATATAAAATTTATGTAATAGTGGAATAACAGTGATATAGTTAACATTTATTTATTGAATATTTTCTAAGTTCTGGATTCTGTCTTAAACATGAATGTTCTTTATCTAATTCTACTCTTGTAACAAGCCATTTTATTGATCAAGAAATTGAGGTTCAAACGTGGGAAGTAACTGCTAGATAAGGTGCAGACCCTGACATCTTGTACCTCTGCATCCCTGACACTGTACAGCCTGGTTACTCTCTGATTAGAAATCAATTATATTTTAAATACATTTTTACATACTCCTTGGGGACAGGATCAACATCTTATTTTGTCCCTTGCATCACCAGTGTCTAGCAGAAGGCTTAGCACATAGTACAGACTTGCTTGTTGAAGTTAACTAATTAAGGCAGAAGAGGAAAAGCTTGCTGCTTTTGGTGCAAGAATGAACTACAACTTGCAAGCGGAGATGGAGGAGGAATTTGCCCTGTGGATAAAGGGAAGAAAGTGCCATTTTGCTGAAATACAGAAAAATGTCAGTGCAGAATAAGTTACTACTTGCATCCTAATACTCCACCCATCTCCTTTATTTTCCCATCTCCTTTATTTAGTACCGACACCTTATTAGCTATATGATTTTAGGCAAATCAATCCTATTGTTTTTTGGCAATAGTCAGCTGTTTGGGCATAGGAAAATAAAAGGCAGATATTTGAATTTAAATAGGTTTGAGGGTTTGCCAGATCAATAAAATGGAAGGAAAGAGGGGCAAAGGAGATGAAGGCTTTTTCGAGGGAGAGGTTATAATGTACCATGGAATCTAAGCTGGGGGATGAACAGAGTAATTGCAAGAGAAAAAAGAGAGATGGAGAGAATGTATTGGGTACAAAGGGCTGATTGGTAAAGGAAAGGGGGTAAGACAGTGGGGTACATGAAACTGAAGCTGAGCAAGTGGCACACTTGAACTTAGTGGAATAATAAGGTCCAGGGTATAACATGGGAGGCGATGACTCTGATCTGGTGGAAGCAGAGGTTGTAGGAATTGAGAGGGTGCTTGACCTTCTCCGTTCCAATATTCATTTTTTTCTAATTTGTTTTTCTTCTTGAATTTATAGAACTCCTGTTTTTATTGTCTTATTGCACTTAGGGAACACTATGAAAAAGTCTTGATTAATGGCGATGGTAATGGATATCTTTGTCTTATTCCTGTCTTTAATGGGATTGCATTTATCATGAACTGTGGTGCTATTATTTCATATAGCCTTAATCCCGTTAAGAAGATTTCCTGCTATTTCTAGATAACTGCAATGATTTGATGGTTTTCTTCATTGACCTATGAATATGATGAATATATTAAAAATTGATTTCCTAAGATTGAACCATCTTTGCATTCCTGGTAGAAGTCATTAGAAGATAGTTTGATTTAAAGGCTGGCACAATGGCTCACACCTATAATCCTTGGCACTCTGGGAGGCTGAGGCAAGTGGATCACTTGAGCTCAGGAGTTCAAGACCAGCCTGAGTAAGAGCAAGACCCCATCTCTAAAAATAGCTGGACATTGTGGCAGGTGCCTACAGTCCCAGGTACTTGGGAGGATGAGGCAAGGGGATGGCTTCAAACAAAAAACCCCAAAACGGCAATTTGATTTCATTTGGATTGACTATATTGCCCTGGATTTTTCTATCATAGATGAGATGGTTGGCACTTTATCCTCTTTAGGAGCTATTCAACTCTCATTTTTTTGGTCTCCTTCCCTTGACTATCTGTGTTACGGGCTTTTGAATCGACTCCTAATTCACTTCTTCACGTTTCTCCAGTCCGATGTTTTGTTCTCCCTTATCCATTCTATGGCCAGTTGCATCTACATTGCTGATTCTCTGATTCATTCCTTTTCTTGTCTAAGTTGTCTTATAAACTCGTAGGGTGTTATTAATTGGGGGTGGAGTCTGTAATGTTGCTGTTATTTCTCCAGCCTTCTCTCTATGGGTTGTCTGAGTGCCAATTATGGGTGATAAATGAACAATAGGTCCACCTTGGCTTAAAGGGTAACTATTTGCTTTCTTTTTTTTTTTATCTTTTTCTTTTTGAATTAAGGTAAAATTCACGCAACATAAAATTAACCATTAGCCGTTTTTTAGTGTAGAATTCAGTGACATTTATAATACATGCATAGTGTTGTGTGACCATCATCTCTGTCTAGTTCTAAGACATTTTCATTAGCCCTAAAGGAAGCCCTGTATCACGAGGTGGTGACTTCCTCCCTCCCACCCCCTGGCAACTAGCAGTCCACTTTGTGTCTGTAGATTTACCTGTTCTGGATGTGTCCTATCAATAGGGTCATACAGTATGTGACCTTCTGTGTCTGGGACAGGAATGTTTATAGCAGGACTATTCAAAACAGCCAGAAAGTAGAAACAACTCAACTGATGAATGGATAAACAAAATGTGAGATGCCTATACAACAGAATAATATTCAGCCATAAAAAGGAGTGAAGTACATACTGTGTTGTGGTGAACCTTGGAAATGTTATGTTGAATGAAGGAAGCCAGTCTCGAGAATTTTCGGTTCAACTTAGGGGTGGCGTGGGGATAGCAGTATGAAAGTGGGCCATCAGTTTTTAACCAATATAGAACAGAGTTTATCTCTTACCAGCTCATCTCCTTTTGTATGCTTCTTAAGCTATTGGCGTTGATACAATTAAAATTCCCATTTAACTAAGCATGATGCCAGGGACACTTCCACAGGTTCTACAGCCATCGTTGGTTGGTGCTTAAACATTCTAAGCATTACTAACGCTGAAACTGCTTTTTTTTTTTTTCTGTTTTAGTAAGAGATGCTAAAAACCTTGTACCCATGGACCCCAATGGCTTGTCAGATCCCTACGTAAAACTGAAACTGATTCCTGACCCCAAAAGTGAGAGCAAGCAGAAGACCAAAACCATCAAGTGCTCCCTCAACCCTGAGTGGAATGAGACATTTAGATTGTAAGTCGAAATCGTCGCAGCCCAGCATGGGTGGTTGGAGGTGGGTTATGGGCTGCTTGAGATCAGGGAGCTCCTCTCTGAGCTGCTGTGTCCTTTCCTCCCTGCCTGCTCCTCCCTCCCTCATTCTCTACTTTCTCTCCCTTCTCTTCCATCTGCATTTTTGTATTGTGAGCCAAGAAAAAATTAATTAATTTTTAACTATTAATTATTTTACTGGAGTTGAAAATGCCTGTGGTGTGGGGCTAGTGGGTGGGTAGGAGACAGTGTGTTGTGTTGCTAGGTGAAGACAAGTTGTAGGATAAGGGATGGATCTCAGCGAATGGGGGGGATAACCTATAGAGTGGGGTGACAGCCTCTCTAGGGTGAGTTTGTGGGTGATGCCTGGCCTGCAGCCTGCCCCTACACAGGAGTCCCTGGCAAGGAGAATCTGAGAATCTCTTTTTGATGCATCTGGACTATATCAGGTGTTAATTATATATAATGGCCAATTTATTATGCATACACTGTGTGTAACAAGCTTTATTGGCTCATTTCATTCCCAATTTATCTATAAGGCAGGTAGGGGTTAAAGAATGTGCTCAAAGTCCCATAGCAAATCTAGGTGGACTGGGTTTCAGCTCCAGGTAATCAGCATGCTGTACCTCCCCATTTCCCTCCCTCACGGCAGAAGTGGGCTTGATTTAAGCCTCAGTCAGGTCATGCCTCAGAACAGACAATTTCCCCAGAGAAACACCAACAAGATTTTTCTCTTCTATTCTCTCCTTTTGTCTTCTCCCCTCTCCTCTCTGCCCCTCCCCTCCTCTCCCCTCTTTTCTTTCTCTTTTCTTTTCCCCCTCCCCTCACCTCTCCCCTCACCTTCCCTTCCCTTTGTATTTTTTTTTTTTTTTTT